AGTGCAAGCAGAAACTGGTGAAGGGCAAGGTAGTCTAGGACACTACGTAAAAGAGAAAAGGCTCAGAGTAATAATACACATACTTATTAATAAAACACTTTGCATTTATAAAGCACTGTTCATCTGAAGATTTCAACGTGTTTTACAAACAAGTTTCATGTCACATCAGATAGACAAGACTTATTAAAATCAATTGGCAGATGGAGAAACTGAGGCAGCGAGATGCAGACATAACATTTCATAACTTGGTTAATGCAAAGAGCCATGTGGGTGCAATCTAGCAGTTCAAGTGGGAACTGGGCACCATGCGGCCTTTCAAAGCTAGTATTTGACTGTACCCAAGTCGCCTGAGCATCCAGTGGCTTGAGTACCCTGAGGTGGTGGCTCAGGACTGGAGTACATTTTTGGCAGTGCTTGGGGACTGCTGCAGGTGCTCCACAGTTAGTAGGCCAGGATGCACAGGTTGTGGAACTCAAGCAGCAGCCATCCCACAGGCTGCTTGAGGCAATTTGTGCAATGGCACCCCCACCTACACATAAGAAACGCCATCTATATTCCAATCAGAGTCAGCATAACCTACGGGTGGGCAAACTTTTTGGCCCGAGGGCCACATCTGGGAATAGAAATGGTAAGGTGGGCCATGAATGCTCACAAAATTGGGGTTGGGGTGAGGGAGGGCTCTGGTTGGGGATGCGGGCTCTAAGGAGGGGCCAGAAATGAGGAGTTCAGGGTGCGAGAGGGGGCTCTGGGCTGGGGCAGGGAGTTGGGGGAGGGAAGGGGTGCAGGCTCTGGCTGGGGGTGAGGGGTTTGGGGTGTAGGAGGGTGTTCCAGGCTGGGATTGAGGGGTTTAGAGGGCAGGAGGGGGATCGGGGTAAGGGTTAGGAGCATGGGGGGAGTCTCAAGGGGTGCAGGCTCTGGGCAGCGCTTACCTCAAGCAGGTCCCAGAAGCAGTGGTATGTCCCTTCTCCGGCTCCCACATGAAGCACTGGAGGGGGCCATTGGAGAACATAGGAGCTGAAGGAGGGCCATGCCCTGGCTTCTGGGAGTCGTGTGGAGCAGCCCCCGACCCTGCTCCCCAGCTGGAGAGCCGGAAGGGGGCAAACCCCAGCCCCCACTCCCCAATGGGAGCTTGAGGGCTGGATTAAAATGGCCGGCAGCCAGGATCCGGCCTGCAGGACGTAGTTTGCCCACCCCAGCATAGCCCTTGAGATCCATGCACGTGGGTCCTTTGAAAGGGCTGACATTCCACAATATGCTGCTTCTGTGTGCCTCAGAACTTCCCAATGACCTGTATGGTTACAGACCATCTGTGCTCAGGACACTCATTGGCCAGCACTATCCTTAGCAAAACCCAGTCTCCAAGGGTACGTCATGCATATTCACATGCTATGGAAATACTGTTGTTAGTTTTTATTTTTTTACAGCATAATCATGTATTTTTCCTGGTGCTGTTCCTTTAAAATGGCAAGTGACCAAAATCCTTCCCCTTTCTGTGTGCAATGGAAAGTAATAGTTCTGGGGCATATCTGCAGTTTCTGCTGGCTGCAGTCCTTACCACTTGTGAATGAGTCAGGAACCACACTGGCATGGTTCATTGTCATGTGGGAGGGAGGCTGAACATAAGAATATAAGAATGACCATATTGGGTTAGACCAAAGGTCCATCTAGCCCAGTAGCCTGTCTTCCGACAGTGGCCAATGTCAGGTGCCCCAGAGGGAACAGAATAGGTAATCATCAAGTGATCCATCCGGTCGCCCATTCCCAGGTTCTGGACAAACAGATGCTAGGGACACCATCTCTGCCCATCTTGACTAATAGCCTATGGATGGACCTATCCTCCATGAACGTATCTAGTTCTTTTTTGAACCCTGCTATAGTCTTGGCCTTTACAACATCCTCTGGTAAGGAGTTCCACAGGTTGACTGTGTGTTGTGTGAAAAAAAATACTTCCTTTTATTTGTTTTAAACCTGCTGCCTATTAATTTCATTTGGTGACCCCTAGTTCTTGTTTTATGAGAAAGAGTAAATAACACTTCCTTATTTACTTTCTCTACACCAGTCACAATTTTATAGATCTCTATCATTTCCCCCCCTTAGTAGTCTCTTTTTCAAGCTGAAAAGTCCCAGTCTTATTAATCTCTCCTAATACGGAAGCTGTTCCATAACCCTAATCATTTTGTTGCCCTTTTTTCAACCTTTTCCAATTCCAATATAGCTTTTTTGAGATGGGGCAACCATATCTGCACACTGTATTCAAGGTGAAGGCATACCATGGATTTATATAGCGGCAATATGATATTTTCTGTCTTATTATCTATCACTTTCTTAATGATTCCCAACATTCAGTTCACCTTTTTGACTGCCGCTGCACAGTGAGTGGATGTTTTCAGAGAACTATCTATAATGACTCCAAGATCTCTTTTTGAGTGGTAACAGCTAATTTAGACCTCACTATTTTATATGTATAGTTGGGATTATGTTTTCCAATGTGCACTACTTTGCATTTATCAACATTGAATTTCATCTGCCATTTTGTTGCCCAGTCACCCAGTTTTGAGAGATCCTTTTGTAGTTCTTCGCAGTCTGCCTGGGACTTAACTATCTTGAGTAGTTTTGTATCATCTGCAAATTTGCCACCTGTTTACCCCTCTTCCCAGATCATTTAGGAATATGTTGAAAAATACTGGTCCCAGTACAGATCCCTGGGGGACACCACTATTTACCTCTCTCCATTCTGAAAACTGACCATTTATTCCTACCCTTTGTTTCCTATCTTTTAACCAGTTACTAATCCATGAGAGGACCTTCCCTCTTATCCCATGACACTTTAGTTTGCTACAGAGCCTTTGGTCAGGGACCTTGTCAAAGGCTTTCTGAAAATCTAAGTACGCTATATCCACTGGATCCCCCTTGTCCACATGCTTGTTGACCCCCTCAAATAATTCTAGTATGCATGATTGGTGAGGCATGATTTCCCTTTACAAAAACCATGTTGATTTTCCCCCAACAAATTATATTCATCTATGTGTCTGACAACTTTGTTCTTTACTATAGTTTCAACCAGTTTGTCTGGAACTGCAGTCAGGCTTACTGGCCTGTAATTGCCGGGATCACCTCTGGAGCCTTTTTAAAAAATTGGCATCACATTAGCTATCCTCCAGTCATTTGGTACAGAAGCTGATTTAAATGATAGGTTAAAAACTACCGTTAGTAGTTCTGCAATTTCACATTTGAGTTCCTTCCTCCCATCTGGTCTTGGTGACTTATTACTGTTTAGTTTATCAATTTGTTCCAAAACCTCCTCTAAAGACTGAATGGGGGGGTTGTCACTATAATTTATTCAAATACCTTTCAACTTAAGGGTATAAGATATTGGAAGTCAGTAAGGGCTCAGACCTGTCCACAGTGTGGAACCACCACTATACTAACTCCACAGATTGACTTGAGTATGGCAGGGAAAACTCTACGCCTGTTGGTCACATAGGCTAGTATTTTCAAAGAGGCCTAAGGCAGTTGGGTGCTCAAATCCATTGAAAGTCAATGGTAGTTGGGTGCCTGACTCTCTTAGGCTCCTTCGAAAATTCCAGCCACAAGCAAGCCAACCCTCCACCACCCATGCATGGGGCTTTCCTATCAATTCAGGTGCTGATGAGGTTATTTTGCTGGATCAGTGGCCAGGGGGGCACAAGAGTCCCATGGGAAGGCTGCAGACGTGTGACTGACCTTGGAGGGAAGAGAGAACCTATTGACATTTAGAAACAGGGAGAGGAGCACTAGATGAATGGTATAACATTAGATAGCCATCTGGTTGAAAAATCTCAGGGTCTGGCCACCCAGCTGAAGCCTCAGTATCCAGAGAACTTGGGCAGAGACAAATGAGAACATATTCTGAAAGGAAATAAACTTCCCAGTTTCCTTTAAAATGCCCCCTCTTTTCTGAGTCCTCTAAGGTCCAAGGACTGTGTAGGCTGCCCTTTGAAAAACAGTCACATGAATGCTTGGTGTTTGCTTTTCTATGAAAATCTATAACAGAGAAATCATTCCAAACATCAAAGAACTTCCTAGAATTCTTACCAAAATACAAAATAATTAACTTACAGACTAACAGTCTAGCTATTCAGATGTACTTCTATGCTACCACCGTTATCCAGAGTCAAGACTTTTTTTTTGGGGGGGGGGGGGGGGAGGGAACTGCAGTGAGATGCACTCCTCAACATATTTAGGAATAAGGAAGAGACAAACACACAGTGGAATTTATTCAGTTATTTCCATATCCCACAAATACCTTTAAATGCAAAACTTACAGATTGCATAGATAGATGTTTCACATGTTTGCAGAATGTGCTGGAACTAGCAATCCTATGTTCCTGATGGGCTATTCATATTTGCTTTGCATTCTGTATGTCACTAATTGGCTTCATTAACTAATGAGGTAGAGGAGGGACAATTTCTTTGGGAAAATGTGGCTACTGACTGGATGACATTGAAGTAGTTTTATTACAAAGTTCTTTCTGTCACTAGAACCATTGGAAAACCAGACAATGTCCTAAACAGAGACACCCGCAACAGGTTCAGTTTAATGCACAGATACTCATAATAAATACACATAATGACCATATACACATGCACAAAATCCATCAAATTGCTGGCACAGCCAGTGAAGAAAAAATTGTTTTTGCAGTAGGACCAGGAGAAATTTTTCTGGGTCCTGTGCCATTCTAGGATGGAATGGCAAGCAGCTTACCCACCCCCTCAGAACGAGTTTGGCCTACTGTTTTTGCTACTGAAACTCTGATATTTCATAACACAGGTTACGTGGCACCCAGAGCTTAAAGGTCACCTATTCAAATTTGAACTTTCGAGGGTCCATGGTCAATTATGCCAGGGAATTAATTTGCCGAGTCTTCCTACCACTGAATAAAGAGGTTGGTGCCCAATATCCCACAACAGAATAAGCAGATTTAAGGTTCTATGGCAAACATTGTTACTGGATTTCTTACCAGTGCCAAAGCTTTCTTCTCCACAAAGTGAGCATCGTCCAGAATCCATCAGATTTGAAAAAAACCTCCAGCCTGTTGGTGTTTCATACACAGGGACTTTCAGTGCCTTTGCCACCCTAAAACAATAAAATACCATGATTAAGACTGTGCATTCACTTAGATGTGGATGTAAGATTTCACAACAATTGCTACAGGGGAGTGATGTTCTGGGTCTTACCATACCTCAAACACATTTAGAAATGGACTTTGATGTAAACAAAAGGGAATGACTGCACAAAGGACCCTTGAGTGGAATTTATTTCATCCAGAGCTTGGTTGTGTTAACCCTCTGGGCACCATGCAAAGCTTGTCTTTATTTGTGTATTTATGGGAAACTCAGTCTGAGGAGCTTTATTAGTGCCCTGATTTTTTGTCAGGGCGTAATGGTTAGTCACAACAATAGGAATGGGCAGAGCAGTTTATTGTATGATTTTATGTGAACATTTTGTAGAGATGCCTGGAGCATGGGATGGGCATTTATTATTTTATAAATCACACTGAATAAATAAATGCTCAAACTGCCAGAAATTTTTTAAAAAATAAACTATTCCTTTATTAGCTTTCTCAAATAGAATATAAAATACATTCTCCTCCTAGGACCCAACTGAGGACTTATGAGAATTTAATGTTGCTTCTCTCTTTATTGCTAACTGTCTGCTTGTTTTCATTCTGGGTCTGGGATTTTCTGTCTACTATTTTTTAAGAAGAAGAATGGGATTTGAGAGATAGTCAAGCAATGTGACTTGCTCAATACATGGCATTATCTCTCTAGAAACACCCTCAACATACGAAGTTAGGTTCCAGTCTTTGAGACACTTAATCATAGGCATACCTACTCATGTCAGTAAAGTTATGTGCATGTTGAGTGTTTGTAGGATTGGTGCCTTAGTCTGTATATTCCATTAAAAAAAACCCTGCATCTTTTTATTGCTCATTTTATTAAAGTAATAAACACAGTTAATCTTGTGCATTATCATCTGCTTTTAGGTCCCAATCCCACAGAAGAAAGCAATGTTCAAGATTCAAACAATTCATCTTTTTTCAAATGTAGCCATATCTAGGTGAAGAAGATCATTAAGGATCTGAACTTGCAAATACCAACATGAGTGCTTAAGCTTGTAGTCAGGAGTAGTGAAATCAATGGGACTGCTCATGAAAGTCAAGTGAAGCATGTGTGTAAAGGCCTTGATGATTGGCTTCACCTAGGTTTAGCTGCATATACAAAAAGATGAGTCTCTTGTCTAGAGCAATTCTTTTTTCATAAAAAAGTTAGACATAAAATCCCTTTGTCGGGCTAATACCAAAGAAGTGATCAACAAGGAGTCTCTCTGATCAAAGACCAATTATATGCTATCGAATAAATACCCTCCAATTCCTGTAACAGAGTCAGCTTCATGCAGTTCCTTGATACCAGGGAAAGAAAAGAACTCCAGCCCATCCAGTGCTTTGGAGTTCCAATCTTGAGCCCCAAACTAAGGCAACAGTCTGGCAGGTCTTCCATGATCTCTGGCCACCCTGTCCCCTGAGCTCTATTCAGTCCTCCAGACCACAGTCTTTATTATTAAATATTTATATTATAGTAGCACTCAAAGGTACCCATTGGGATGAGGACTCCATTGTGGCGGGTGCAGTACAAACACCGAAAGAGACAGTTCCTGTTCCTGAGGGAGGACCCTGGAGTTCAGATAGTTGTCTACTGGCACAGTTCCTGGATCCTCTCCAGGAAGCAGAGACACAAAGATCCCTTAGACAGGTTGAACAAAAAAAAAAAAAGAAATATCATCTTTAAATCCTTTCTTGCTCCAAAGGAAGAGCTGGCGGAATCTGTGGATCTCTCTTGCTCCAGGAGAAGGGAAAAGCACAGACTTAAAATCAATTTTCAACTCCCATCTTGTAGCAGAAGAGCACAAAGAGCAGTCTTTAAATTCCTTCTTGTTCACAAAGGTTAACTAGAATCCAGTACAGTCAGCCAGTCCTTGCCCTCTGACCAGCAGCCTGGCTATTGAGCCATCCCTAGCAGCTGTCTTCTCCCCCTTTATAACTGCTCCAGGTGCCTTTCTAGGAGGCTAACAAGGCCCAGCTGATTCAGAGTTCTGTCCATTAACACTTGCCGCTCCACCTAGAACCCTATGGCTTTTTACCTCTGACACATCTCTGTTCCTTTGAAGGGCAGTAGATCCAACAGCAGCCAGTGCTCCAATTGTAGGCACAGATGGCTGTCATACCCCAGCTCTTACAACTCACATGTAAATCAAAGTGATGCACTATTTTTTAAACACCACCAATCAAATTTTAAAGAGTGGATAATTTTTTGGGCAGGGATAAAAATAGATTCTTCACATCCGTAAATCGAGTATCAAAAGGTAGAATGTATAAAAAGTGCCTAAAAGTCCTATTGAAAGCAATTAGGACCGATATCCCTAAGGGCAGATGCACTGCTGCAGCTGTGCCATTGTAGCACCTCAGCGAAGATGCTACTATACCAACGGGAGAGCTTCTCCCATCGGCATAGTTAATCCACCTCTGTGAGAGGCAGTAGCTCTGTCAGCGGGAGTAGCCCTCCTGTCAACATAGCGTTGTCTACGTCAGGGGTTAGGTGGGTATAACTGTGTCACTCAGGGGTGTGGATTTTTTAACACCCCTAAGCAATGTAGTTATACTGATGTAAATTTATAGTGTAGACCTGGCCTAAGTCAAACCCACCCAAAATTTCCAACCTGTTAATTGTCACCAGTTTGCTAGCAAAGAGATCCATTTACTTTTCCAAATTCCCAATTAAAAACTCATTTTTGTATTTATGAATGAAATCTCATATAAGTGTTTTTCTCGGAAGATTCTTTGATCCGTCAATGCTTAAAAAACCTGTCCAGTAAAATTAAAGGGACACTTCCAATTTTATATCTAGCCAAATTAAATATAGTTTAAAGTGTTTCAGTTACACATATGCCCCATAACCCCCTTGCCAGATTTTATGCTTAAATAATATTTCCTATTTTTAAAAAAATATTCTCCCCTCTTGCTTTGTAGAAGAGTTACACAAAACAAGGAAAACTGACTATAAAGAAGGAAATGGAAAAACTTGGTATACTCAGAGTATTGCCAAACACAAAGTAAACAAACTAAAGAGAAATATTTTGTTTCTCTCTCATCTAATTTAGTTATAGTCATTTTTGCATGTTACTTGCCACAACAGGGCTAACAAATTTCCCTTTAAATTCAACATAAACATTAAAAAAGATTCCAATCCGCATTTCTCTTCTCGATCAGATAAACACATCAGACCTCTTCCTTCTCTTCTTCCTTCCTTCAAGAGTCAAGCAAACTAAAGATAATGAACAAAGAAAAGAGACTAGAAGGGCAAACTCTCTGAGGTCCTGAATTAGAGCAGGTTGATATATGGGGGAAAAATTGTGAAGAATATAAAAATGTCTAAGCCTTTTTCATTCTGTTTCAGAATGGGTTTACTTTATTTGATATTTTCACAAAAGGTTTAATCAAATTTTTGCTTCAAAATTTTTCTTTTTGAAAATGTTAATTTTTTGGTTTTCCTATCTAACCCTTTTTCATTTTTTCCCACCTTCCTTTTCCACTTGCCACTGACAAAGGAAGTGAGGGAGGAGGGAAACAGAAAACCAAAAAGACAAAAACTGAAAGCATGGCTCCATTTTTCATTTTACAATTTTGTCAGGAAAAAAAATGAAAAGTTTGAAAAATATTTTTTCACGAAAATTTTTGACTTTTAAAAAGGGCCTCTTTTATTAAATATTTTTAATCTGAAAAACAGCAAGCAGCTTTAGCTCTGATCTTGTAAGTGATTCCATATGGGCACCTACACAGAGACCCACAGATATCGATGGGGCTCCATGCAGGCACAGGGGTCTGTGCACATTGAGTCACCTGCAGAATCAGGGCCTAAGCTGCGCCAGGCATCGTAGCCCATGGCTTCTCCAAACAGAAACAAGACAAAACAGTCAAAATGCCCCAAGAGAGCCATTTCCCCTGAAAAAGCTTGTCCCTTCTTTCTAGAAGATAGAAACCATGCAGAATACAGCATTCAAATACACCAAGTATACAAATCAACAATTCTTCTCTTGACATGCTTTACATTGTGATGATCACCCCAATCCTAAACTGTAAAGGTGAATTGATTAGTGTGGGTGATTAAAGCCAATGATCTTCTGACATATTTCTTCCAGCAGTCACCACCTGATGTCTGGGGTGCCCCGGCAAAGACTGGATATGAAAACCAAAAATCAATTCTTTTGGAGACATAACTTCTCCCACAAGTGACAGACTCGCTAAACCTCATCACATTTAAGTAGCACACCTGTAGCAGACAAAAGGTAAATGAATGGCCATGCTCTAACGTTTCTCAGGCACAAAAGCAACTAAATCATTGCACCTCACTGGGAAAATACTGTTACTTTTTTACTTCAGATAAAACGTAAGAATTATCCACGAAGGAGAGGGGGACTTGAACGGAAAAGGCACCAGTAGGAGGCTCGATCCTCAACTTGTTTACCCTGTGTTTGATATAGACCAAGGGTCGGCAACCTTTTAGAAGTGGTGTGCGGAGTCTTCATTTATTCACTTTAATTTAAGGTTTTGCGTGCCAGTAATACATTTTAACGTTTTTTAGAAGGTTTCTCTCTATAAGTCTATTATACAACTAAACTATTGTTGTATGTAAGCAAGGTTTTCAAAATGTTTAAGAAGCTTCATTTAAAATTAAATTAAAATGCTGATCTTACACCGCCAGCCCGCTGCCAGCCTGGGGTTCCGTTCACCTAGGCCGGCAGCGGGGCCTGCGGCTGGGACCCCGGCTGGCAAGGGGCCGGCAGCCAGAGACCCAGACTGGCAGTGGGCTGAGCGGGGCCAGCAGCCAGGACCCCATACCAGCAGTGGGCTGAGCGGCTCAGCCCGCTGCTGGTCTGGGGTTCTGTCTGCCGGCTCCTGCCGGCCAGCATCCCGGCTGCTGGACCCGCTCATCCCGCTGCCGGTCTGGAGTCCCAGCCCTGTCCACATAGAGTAGCTACCTACCTTCTCCCTGGTTCTGGCCCATTCTCTTCCTCTCTCT